CCGGGGCGGAAAAAAAACCCAGCCCGGGCTGAAATCTGAGCTCAACATGTCGGCGTCGCAGCACCTGGCTTGGTGCCGTGTTCAGTTCTGAAGTTTGGAACACCGCCCGCTCTCGATCCTGGGCTTGCTTGACCACGCGCTTCATGAGCATACCGTCCTCCAAGACATCCTGGGGGGACAAGTCTTAGGCTTAGGCTGCTGTTCTCGAGCTCTTCAAGGTTGGAGTTCAGGGTTTGGGGCTTCATCTGGGGCTTTCAGGGGGATCTGTGGGCTGGGTTGGCGAACTCATTTTCTGCTGCTCTTTGCATTTACGCTTTTGCGTTCATTTCGCATTATTTGATCCTTTTTCATGTTCAATACTTGTTCAATCTACGAAGTTCTGTTTTGCATTTAAAGAATGAGCAGTAACTTCTGAGAACTAGGCAGCAGCTTCGGACGCGCTTTTAGATGCAGCTGCAGTCTGTACATGCAACCACTCTGACGGTGTCTATTCTCCCCACGAAACCTAACTGTTCATCCCTAATGGCCCGCATGCCATGCAGATCTTGTTTGCAGCATCTGAGTCCGAAATCATCTAGTCACTAGTTCCTTTTAGAGGCATGCACGGAAGACCAAACACGGGCCGAGACAATGAAGAATTGAACTCGTCGCCGGAGGCCTCCTCTTCGTCTTGCTTGTCATCCTGCAATGCATCCCCTGCGAAGCACGCGACCACCTTGAGCGGATCCGTGCGGAGATGTCCGGATTCTGCTTGGAGAAGCTCGAGGTGGCCTAGCTCTAGCCGGCATGTCCGAGGCTCCAAACCCTCCGCGAAAGCGCTCCTTGCACCGATGCCGAATGAAACCAAAACTGGACCCCTCATCCTCGTCAGACTCCAGAAGAAGCAGAGTTGCCACCATCTCACAAGCCAAGGCAACCACGTTTTGGGGCCGCTGGCTGCGCCGTGCGCTGCAGAGCTGGGCCCAGGCGAAGCCTCCACGGTTCAGGAGTTGATCCTCCTCGCTCGCATAAGTTTTCACTGCAGGGATGTGTCCCTTCTGCAGTCCAAGACATCACGAGCCACTAAGCCACAGCGCACCCTCTTGTGCCCGTCCTTGTAGTGGAGAACCCAAACGCGTGCTCAACACTCTTCTCTTGGCTTTCTTAACTAACTGCAAGGCTTCACTCTCGGAAACAACCTGACACACCACCCTAACGTCAAAAAGCCCGCGTGGCCGACACTGAGAAGCTGACATCATGGATCAATCCAAGATCGCCAAAGCCGCCAGAGCCAGAATTCCCAAGACCCAGAACCGAGCCCCCAAGTCCTGAAGCTTCTCTGCCTGCCGCAGCCACGGGCAGAGCTCCCGTAGCGCCATGCAGCTTCCGAGCTGATGTGGGAAGCTCGGCTCGGGCGAAGATCCTGGGAGGGTTTCTTGGTGAGCTCAAAGCATGTGAGCGGCTGCCAGGGTCTTTGCATCAGCCTGGGCAGGGTTTGGAGGGTTTGGAATGTCTCAACAGCATTGCTTGGAGGAGGAATTTCAAGGAACACCAGGACGGTTACGCGAGATATGAGCTGCGCTGACAAGAATTCTACAAATCTCATGCCGTTATCCTCGCGCGCGGGAGGCTCCCTGGCTTAAGGCAGAGGGGATCAGCAGCAGCCACCAAGGCCATGGCAAATGGGATGTTTGCTGGCAGACTTGGAACTTTAGGGCCAATGTGGAATGTTGGCTTTCAAGGTCAGGCTCGGGCGTAGACGAAAGCTCGGAAGTCTTTGTAGGCGCCGAGGAGGCTTTCGCTTTCCAAGGAATGGCGTTGCTTACCTAGCTTCGTCTTGGCGGTGTCATTCTCTGACACGTCGTAGATGGAGCCTCTGTCCAGTTCGGTACAGAACTCCCCTCCCATTCGGGCCAACAGGTAGCTGCCAACGCTCCAATCCCACAGCCGTGGCCTCTGCTTGCGGGCTAGAGCCGTTTGTCCGTGTTTGAGTTGTCGCTAAGAGCATCAGAGCATAAGAAGATGTACAGTAGCCTGCCAAAATCCGAAACGCCCCCGTAAATCCTCAGCAGCTCTATTCCATCGCTCACGCTTCTGCTCTTTGAGCATTTCTTCGTCTAGGCTAGGCTTCCAACGTCCCAAGGTCACGCACTCAATCCATTTGTCAAACAGCTACAGCAGCAGCAGCCGTGATGTCATACTACCAAATATTACCATAGCTGGTTCTCCCTCACAGAGAGAGGCA